TCTAGCCATCTTTTTCCAGGATAATTCCTGAAAAACTATACATTGTCCGCAACAACAGGCAATTTTCCTTTCACTGCGAGATCCCCAGTGAAAGCGAATCAAAATACTAGCAAAAGTGACTCAACGCTGACGTTTCTGGGTATGTCAACGTGTTCACATGCTATACACATTTGCTGGTATGCAAATTGTTATGAAGTAAGCAAAATTGCATTAAGGTAGAAGTGAGGTTTGTACATATACTCGTAGCACAGAGACAATACATCTTAGACGCCATGATTGGCCGCCAAGTTCTCGTCGACAAAAAGAGATTACCACGACATTTATGCATGCTTTTTAGTCATCTCCAAAAAGCATGGTTTCATAGACCAGACACCCCATTTGAGAAGTCTCGTTATTTCTCAATCTCAACGAGATCTCGAGGATCAATTGCATAAACTATAGTTTGTTCAGAAACGATGTTGATCGTGTTATTTATAATATAAAATATAGAACACAGTAAAATCTATAAAACTACATTCATGTTAAAAGCTACTTAATGGTCAGAAAGACAGCTTTGATTAGATGAACAAATATCTTCAATGTTCGTTCAGACGTTTTATTACATTTTTTTATGAGTTTATTTTTTAAATTTCCCGCAGGGCAACGTAACGTGTCAGAATCAATGTATATTCCGAGTTATCATGATTATTATTTGTTAACAAAAGTAAATAATACGTGCTAAATAGTATTACCAATTTTGATTCTTCAAAGCATTGAACCACACGACTAAAGAAAATGTCAATGTTTCATTAACGCTTCGTTTCGTGTTGTTATATATCTAAGCATAAGTTACATTTTATTTATATATACTCGCATACGTCAGAAGTGAATACCTCACTTTTAGTGTCAATCCAAGCGTAGTGTGAGACGATGCTACTCTACTTGCGAAAATCAGGAGTGTCTGCTGACGTCACACTAAGAGTCAGTATAGCTGGATTATACATTTAGCACATGCACAATTCCTCGGTTCGCAAACATTTTGAATAATCGAACTATTGAATGATTACTAAGGTATGTATGAATGATCTGTACGGTATAGATACTTGGAAGTTTAATTATATCCGCATATTATATACCGGGGTACTATTGCAATATCATGGAAGTTATTACTTCAAAAGCCAATAATAATGAGTAATCGGCTAAGACGATTTACAGGCCAATATCAACACCCCGGTCATAATTAATATCAATCAACGATAATGTCTTGATCAAATTAAAACAAAGATTCTATCGTCCATGAACAAGTATCGGACATTAACATCGACAGTGTTATTGAAGGAACATACTCATTAATACTGTGTCACGCAAGATAGTCTCATGCTGTTTACAACATAACTTTCGCATCATTCATCATTATTTATGTTTCAATGGTCAACTAAACAACACAATGCTACAAATCGCGATTTACGTACGAGAGAAATATCTACTATATACATTACAATATTAAGGTATTGTGCTTCATCTCCTTTTTTACTAATCCCGACATTGAAGCGAACTGGAACAGTTCCATAAAATGGAATATTCATGAGGATGATAGTATTTAGACTGATATGTTTCTAATTTCTATTTCATGCTCAAACGTAACGATATAATGACAGATAAGCATTATCTCTGTGTGATTAAACATTACGCGCAGAAAAGCAAATTGTTGTGATATGCGAATATCAGATTGAAAACAACAATTATTTAGATAGTACAATGACAATAACTCATACAATAGCGATTGGAAGTTTATTTTGAACAAAATATCGCTAACTAACTATCACATCTTGCCGATCTCGAAAACCACCGACGGCAAATGCAAATGCGCGACCATCAACGCGCTTAGAAGTCACGCTTTATTAACAAAAAACTAGTACACAATTATAAGTGTAGTTCCGTAAAATCACGATTGCTCTGTCGATCTGATACTTAGAGCTGGTTGGTAATACAAAGATTATAACCTGATATTACTTATTCGTAAAGCTGGTTGCTATTTGGTCGTGGGCTGTGTTATTAAATAACCTTCGGTTCGTAGATAGTGTAGCGAATGACGTCACTCATATCATCCAGATCTAAATAAACGTTGATATTGACTGAAGTCAAGGACAATGCGCAGTGTCATCGACTCTTTCATTGTTTGTAACAGGTCATGTGTCCCGGATTTTATGACATTCGAATCCAGTGATACACAAAATGACGTTGGAGGCCAAAAAGACGCTGTTAATTATCAAACGATCATTCGACCACGTTTGACCAATGAAATTTGTGTATGGGGGTGGAGCAGCGTTAATAACAAGATGGTTCGGTGATAAACTCCTAATAAAATGTTCACTGAATATGGGTATATTGTATATTTGTAATGGTATACATAAGTATATATAAATGTCGTAAATTTAAAATGCGAATAATCAGTAATCATCAGATAGTTTCCAAAAATATCAAACCAATGTGCATGTGCTTCAATAATTTATCACCACCTTGCACACGTCAATGTATATAAATTTGACCCAATGACAAGTATTTAGTCTTTTATTTTTTGTATTCCCTCAATATTTAAAATTTAATAAACTGGTTCCGAGGCATGTGTTTAGTTGTGATGGAATATAACTATCACATGACGTCACTTTAAATAGGGAACTACTGACATATAGTAATATGAACACTGATGGACACAGATGCTGAAATATAATATTTTTTGATTAGGTTCTGAGAGGTTCTCGTCTTCCATTTTATGAACATTGTTCTCATCATTGGGCTCGAATAAGTTGCGATTATACATTATGTGAATTATTGCCTGGTAATGTTATAAATGTGAACTCATAAACCGACTAAACTATATTATTTGTTATTTTCTTAATTCCCTCATACATTTGATTATTCTGCAATGTTCTAAAAAAGACGTTTAATTCAGATAGGGGATGTCGATCATTTTACAAAACGTGGGTTCATCTTACTTTTTTGATTTGATATACACTAACGCCAATTAAGGTAGAGATGCAGTTTACCTGACAGGTATTTTAATTAGTTAAATAGAAATCCAAGATGACCTCCCTTGTCCACAAAACTATATTTATTTTCAGAAATTTTATTGTATGAATTTTAAAAATCTGTTAGTATTTTTTGTTTTTTATGGACACTATAGTTTGAAATATGTACAAAAATGTGCTTTTTTGGTCAAAACTGATTAAAAAAAATAGCTTCTAAACTATGCGTCTGTTTCCTGTGAAAATTGGTTTACGGGTACATCTAATTACTATGAAGAAAGTGCCGTCTTGAAAACTGTCTACCGGTTGTCAATTTTGCAGGGTAGCAGCTCAAATTTCACTACTTCAAGTTTATGCATAATTTAAAACCCAGGCTAGTTGTCTGTACGATTGTTGTAACACTGTTCAACAAAAAAAAAAGCCCCGACGGCGTTTTGAAGATAAACACATTGTCAATTATTTGTGAACATTTCAAAACAATAGGTCAAAGCGTCTAGGAGCTTTTTTTTTTAAGTTATGGGATGGGCACTAAAAAGAAGCTAAGATAATTGCTAATTTGCATAACAATTCACTCAGTAAGAAGTTTGCTAATGCTCATAATTAAAATGGCTGTAACAGTTTCAAATTTAAATGTATTATCATTATCTAAAATGTTAAATATTGTGCATAATTTGGAGATCCCGTCATTACTTTTTTCACCGTGTTTCTTTTTTAATATTTATGTACAGCCTTGTTCAATCTTGCTAAGCATTCAAAAGAGAGAATGTTTGCACCTGTTATCTATACTTTAAAATCGTCTTTTGAGTATGTTCCACTATTCACAATTCTACAAAATGTTAACAGTCTATAGCCAAGACTGTTTGAATATTAAATTCAAAAATTCACTCCCAAGTGCCCACAAACCTGCATCTCTACCTTAAATTGGTTACAATGACAGTAATATTAAACGTTACACTTATTTGGAACACGTGTATGCATTTTTCGATGTATATAAATAACTAGGTGGATTATCAGACAGTTGGCGTATTTGAAGTTAAAACACGGATTCGTCTTATATATTTCTATGCACGACTATGTTGCATGCCTGTAATCGGTTCTACTGGAACTGAATGTGTATAACATTTGTTAGTCTGAACTTGCATGAAATGTGTCAGTTAAGATCGTGAATTAGTGTCCATCCCGTTCAACAAAATATAGACATTACAAAAAATACACTGTACTCCTACAATTAATTAAGTCATACTTCATGCTTATTCCGTTTTTTTTTTATAATCTCACAAACTAGCGTAAGCGGGGAAGGAAAGAAGAGACAAGGAACGACTTGAGGAAAGCATGATATTATTGTGCGAATAGCGGTTCATATTATTCCAGTTATCGAAACAATGTAGAAAGCATCTTCTACATCTATGAATCGTTTAAATGGCTGACATTCTATCTAATTTCTACGTACGATAGTTCATCCAAATTTCATCGTGGTGTACGTGCAGATCACGTTAATTCATAGTTGTCGCTGGGGATCTCAGAAACAGGCTTAGTAGTTTTGTCAAATAAGGCCGTGTTATCAAAAGTTTATGTTGCGTCATACATTGAGGTATGTACAACATACTCAATCCAAATTATTAATATGTGAAAAAATGTCAGAGAACAATTACCAAGTATTTATTGTTGTCGCGTATTTGATGGAAATTTTCAGCCATACATCAAAATGTTTAATACTTTTAAAAATATCTTTCCTCAATACATATTAATGTGTTTGTCAAAGCATCACATATGTCACGCCGTGTCGTAATCGATAAAGGTCCCACGTGACGTATACATCGCGTGTGAAGAACATTGTTTGCTTAGACGAAATTTGATCAATGTCTGCATTGCGACTGTGTTTTAACATTGTTAACATACCTAATTATTCATTGTTATAAGTGTTCTTTACTTGTATAAGCTTATGGTATTGTTACTTATATTTTGCTTCAGGTGATATCAAGTAAAAACTTCATAATGGCGAACAGTACGATGATTTATAACAGTAACATCACTACTACTGAACCACCCGTAAACGTTACCAGCCTATTTGGATGGGTAGAGTTATGTAAGGTTATCCTGTCTATTCTTGGAGTCGTCGGGAATCTTTTGGTCATTGCAGTTTTTACCAGTGTAAAGAGGCTTAGAACAACGACAAATTATTTTATAATCAGTTTGGCCTGCGCCGATTTTATCTCCTCATTGACAATTCTACCCCTTCCAATCCCGAGTTACATTCCATCAAATCTAGCCGGGGAGCTCTACTGCCGTGTCATCTACTCCACCGCCTTCTTGTGGATCAGCTTCAAGGCTTCGGTTTTCAATCTTGTTGCTGTTACCATTGAGCGCTATTTTGCTATTGTGATGTCGACCAAGCACAAGAAGATATTTACTAAACGTAATTGTCATATATTCATTCTCATCGTTTGGCTGTGCGCCGCAACTGTAGAAAGCCTGGCTTTTTACATATTTCCATACGATTACACTCTCCGGTCATGTATAATCTGGTGGCCAAATGAGAATTACCGACTGGCTGTTGGCGTCCTACTCTACCTTGCATCGTTTCTCATTCCCGTAATCATTCTGTTGATTGTTTACACAAGGATCCTCGTGTTTTTGAAGCAGCATGCCAAAGCTATGCTGTCTCGCAACGAAAACAACAGCCCGGCATATTCCCTCTTGAAGGCGCGGGAAAAAGTGGTAAAAATGTTATTTATAGTGGTGATAACATTCACAGTTTGTTGGGCACCAAATCAGACGTTATTTTTAGCGTTCAACTATGGCGCACCGCTGGATCACTATGCCACGTACTATCAATTTTTCATAATCCTTGCATTCTGCAACTCTTGCCTCAATCCAATGATTTATTCATTTAAAAACAAGCAATTCAGAGATGGGTTGCAAATTGTGTTCTGCAAGAAAACAACAAAAATACTACCTGGAAGTTCAGAACAGACACAAGCCCAAACAGTGCACACCGTCGACCACAGTGTTTGAGGAGACGCGTTAAATCTGTGATAATATTGAAAACTGTCATGAAATGAACTATTGCAATGTTTGATATTTGTGTTTATAAAATGAGTTACATGAGCGTTTTCACCCAGGTAGATTATAGCGGTTACAATTTTTGTACAAACTGAACTACATTATAACGGCAGAATTAAAGTCACTCCGGGTCTCGTTACTATGCGATCTTGTGTCGTAGGCGCCTTTGGAATCACATATCCATATACAGTATGTAGTAACTTTTCATAGCATGTAGTCTCGTGTGTATATCTATTTTAATAAGGATAGTTGTTGCGTATAATGTAGTTTTACGTATATTGAGTATTATGACATAGTAAGATTACCAGCAATGTTATCATCCAAACCACTTGGGGGACACAGTAGATAATACATAGTATAATGAAGTCGTATATTTCACTAACTAACATTTAGAATATATGTCTTATTAAGGTAGAACGCTACACAAAAGTAAAATTATTGTCATTTTCTTTACTTTTATCTATTTGATATGTCAATTGGTACAGATTAGGAAAACGAAATGAAAATATGTGGTCACCATAAATAGTCCGTTTTGTCTGTTTTAGGGCACTTCAACTATGGCCAGAAAATATCTCAATATCTCTGTTTTTTCTTGGTGACATGTGGTGAAAAATATATAGTGTCTCACAAGGTACCTTTTTGCTGTCTAGAAGTATTTAAAATTGACAATATTTTAGTAGTTTTTTTTTTAAACTTGGAAATGTATTTTCATCGGCGTCTATGGAAATTACTAGTAAAATAGCATTTTATTCGTTCGATTTTAACTTTTTTCTCAAAAATCAGACTAACAGTGAACCAAAAAACTTCACATACTGTTGACCGATACTAATACCATTAGTTGTAGACAGATTTTGACACAGAAATTGCTACTGCTATACGCGCTAAAATATGCGCACAACAAAAACTAACGAGTAGCATTCTACCTTAAGTGGTAGAACGTTAAACTACAATGATCATGCGAAATATACGTATCTCGGGAATGTAGATGTAGATTATAAACACAACACAGTTTACTGGGATTGAATTATTTAGATATTGAGTGTAATTGAGAAAAGTGTACGTGACACTGTCAATTAGACTACGCTAGCTACAATGTACAAGATGTATTATGTTTAATATTGTCAAAAATAAGCACGCTCTATAGTGAATATAGCACTAATACAGATGTTCATGAGCTTGAGCTTAGTTCATTTTAAAATGAGCGTTAATAATAATCGCAAGTTATATTATACATTCTGTCGACACAAGAAGCATTTTCTGTAGATGCTTCCAATGCAGTTCAGGGAAAATATAGTTACAGTAAAAGTGTTTTTTTTAGCACTACAGTGACAACTGAAAATTGCAAACAAATGATGAACAAGAGAAGATATTTTGGTCATTTCGTGTTTTGAGTATTTAATTTTTATATTTAATAATGTAATTGTACTTTGACAAACTAATGTTGCAAAATAACGTAATTAGAATAGCAGCACTAGCACAAGAAATAACACTCGGCCTGCCATTAAATATAAATGTGATATGTTATTATTATAAATATTAATACTGTTATACAGAAATATTTCAGCTAGTGATAGTATATTCTTTATCTGTTTTAAACATTTAATTAGCTCACATAGTGGTTCTGTTTCGTTTCACTCGTATACTGGAGTAACTGATTTTGCTTCTCCTCATCACTTTTAATGAATTGATAAATGTGAAATGAATAGTGATGTGGTCTTTAAAAATAGAGGATGAATAGCACTATGATTTTATTGACCCTGAAATTAGGGCTTGTCTTTTTATTACGTTTATTGAACAATATATATCATAAGTGTAGTCGTTAATTGTGTTGTCTTAACGATGTGGATATAACACAGGGTATATAACAATTTAAATTGAATTAAATGCTTTAAATGAGATATACCTTATCTGCTTGATTGGTTTATGTTGTTAATTTTGAATAATCAGCTATGTTAATTGAGTGGGTTTAAACATAATCGTGAAGCCATAGCTACATGTAGATCTTACTGCTTCGTTTGTTTATACACTATTCTTATTGATAACAAAATAGAATAATATTACAAATTACGACTCAAATTCAACTATTTATACAGCGATATTCAATGACAGCAAGTAATCTAAAAAGTCACGTGCAGGGTGGCGATAGTAGTATCATTATTGAATAACGTTTTGTAGTAAAGTATCGACACTTTTCAAACTGTACTCAAGATACATTGCCTAAATGCCAATTTCAAGTGCAGTAATGTCCGCTTTTTGTTGTATTGTTGTGGTGCTCCGTATTCTCTTCCTGCTATGATTTGAACGTTTCATACAACAATTATACATGTGGAAAAATTGCACCGTAGTAATGTGGTGAATCACGTTTGATTATGTCGTGGGGGGTGTTTGTACTCCATCTCTTGTGCCTGAACACAAACATGTGGTCGGTGGACTAAAACATACCGATTAACATAGTCCCATCAAAATAGACATTGCTAATATAAGATCATGAACAATCTTTATTAATATGTTTTGATACAATAATTAAATAATAATTCTGGTACAATAATGTAACATCTGATATATTAACAACTATAATTAAATATTTATTATATAAATTTTACTATTCATAAAAGACAAACACAGATATTTGAAAACATGAATTGTGCAAACATTTTGTAGATCAGTTTAATGGGCGGGTAATACTTAGTCAACTGTTTTGTTGCGTGCATGTTTTTGTGAATGCTTGCGTATATTTTCCTATGCAAAACGTTCGACAAACATTGATATCTATCTCAAATAGTATTGATTCAACGTTGTTGCAGATATCGTGAGTGTGTTGGCTGATATAAATGTCGTTTTACGCTTACGATGTTTATATTAAGAAAACTATTGATTGTAATCATGAATATACGAATAAAGTGTACACCATGTTTATGAATTTACACTCCTCTCATCAGTTGTGTATTTCTGTCGGATAGGTATTTTAAGTGTTGTGTGTACCGGAACAAGTAATTAAGTATCACAAGAATAGTAATGTTGCATGTTTACTGTTTAAATAGTATTACATACCTGTACATTACCTTGATGTATCCAATTCTAATATATGCTCTCTGTGTTAACTGGTAATCTTGCTCAGGTACATGGTGGCATGACAAATGTGTATCCCTTTACTTTCAATAATGTTGATCTATTCTTACTTACTGGTTAGTGGTCGCCATGGCAACCATCGTAGTTACGCATCAGTCCAAAAGTTAATCAAAAAGAGACAATAACAATAATCTGAAATAACATACAGTATAATCTTGAGTTTATTAACTAGTCATTGCGCATGCGTGTTACCTTTGTTATATTCATAGTATGAACACACATTGGTATGTGTTTTGAATAGGAATTCTTTTCACTTTAATATTATCTGACATAGATTTAATTTTCGTAATGCTTAGTTAGTATAAGGTTCTTACGAGAATATCACAAACTATACATGGAGTCAGTACGATGATCGTATTGACCGACATGTAGCGGGGTCCTTGTGGGTACATGCTTCGCAGTATTTTCTTTGGTAAGCGTATTATTGTTAAGCATATTTTCCTATTGTACCGATAATTTGGTGCGTTGTAACAAACTGAAATGACGGAGAATATGATGTAATTCCGCACGATCATTTATGCTCGGTGATTTGATTTGATTCGATTATATTCCAGTCATACGGGGACATTGTTACTGCGTCCGATGTAAACAAAGACATAAGTTTGAATGTGACGTAAATGTAGCAAACATTTCCCAAATTATAAAATTACGCCATGCTCTAGAACTGATGAGTGTTTGGTATGAAAGTTATTTTCACGAGTGATACAGTGCACATATAAACCGGATCATGAGTCAAAATTAGATTCATACTCCACGCACGTACGTTATTAAGGCGAATGGAGCGTCCATCAGCGTAATTATTCGGACCAGTGAGTCAATCCTAATCATGACCAGTGTACACAGAAGACAATACTCTTTAAAAGCAAGCATTCCCGGTATGACATCAACGAAATACGCAAGGGATACATCGATAAAGTAAATGCGACACTGATTGTAAAGAGTTATCTGCACGCACTGTTTTTTTATCGAAGGCGACTTGTAAAAGAAAACGGTGATATATGGAAATTACATGAACGAGTCGTCGTTTATCTATGTGAAATGGATTTGGTTCACCATCCCATTAGGAACGAAGCGTGTTGTGCAAAAGGGTAACGTTTTACTGAACTGAAAATAATGGCGTATGGATTCTCATTTTCGATACAATTATTTCATGTGTCATCAATGAACCATTTATTCTATTATCACCTGAATACATGTAAAGGCAAGCATGAAAGCACAACTGAATATTTCTAACATGTTGTTTATCGTTATTGCCAACTGATCCATGCACACGTTTGAATGATCGTTGATAATATAACACATTTTGTCTTTGTTTCGTTTTGTATTAGCGAAATATTATATGTAAACTATCTTGACTTTCCATATTCATATTTTTATAGGCGGGTGTATTCTCTTACTGGACGCGTACGCTGTGAAATTTGTACTAAATTACCACACTTTGGAAATGGTATCATTCTCTCATGATTTCATCATGAAAGTTTATACCTTTAATGGAAAGTCTTTTTTGTCGTAATTGAAATGTATACATTGTCTTAAAAGTACACAGACCTACATAACAACAAAATATAATTACCTAAGCGTTGATTATTGGAATATCAGTGCATAGGTATTTTAACAGTATAGCGTCAATTGTGCTGTTAAATGTGTAATGACTGTATAGAAACTCAACCCACCAAGTTCCTCACTTGTATAGTAATGTATTACGGTTAAATTCACTGTCTACCTATGCTTGTATTTGTAGTATCTGCTTCTGTTTTCGTTGACTTGTTATGATGTAATAAATTTTACACTTGGACCTACAATTGGGTGTGGTGTAATGCATA